ATATATATCTCTCTCTCTCTCTAGAATATTACTCATTAATTAATCACCACCGCGGCTGGCACCGCCACGCTACATATATAGATATATATACTAGATACTAGTTTGATTGCAAAACTAATCTGATATATGAACCAGTACTACTGATACAATATAATATATAAGGACGTAGGATCGGAGGTAGCTCTAATTAAATCAAGAATATACATATACATATAATATAGATGCCACATATGTGGGTGTTCCTGTTGATAGCAGCAGCGTTAGTTGTGATAGTGGCCGTCTTTTATTTGCAGCTGTAATTAATCTCAATCAATAATTGATCGACGAGAATGAAAAGGGTAATTTCAATTTCAATTTCAATGAATTGTGTGGGTGTGGGGTTGGTGATGATGTTAATTGCCGTTCATGTAATTAATGGTTGCAATGCGGGGGGAACCACCACTGAAACCAAAGTAGTAGAGGGCGATGGAGAGGATGAATCAACAACTTGGACAGGATGGGCCAAGGACAAGATCTCTGAGGGTCTTGGCTTTAAAGAAGACCATAATCAGAATATTGTTGATGATGATGCTGCCAAGAAAAGCAAAGACAAGGTCACCGACGCAGCTGCTGCAGGTACGTATTATATATGTATGGTATATATAATACTAAATAAGTCATTTCTATTATATTATTGATGATAATTAATTAATGAAGTGAAATATTATTAATTAGGTGGAGAATATGTATCGGAAAAGAGTGGTGATGTGAAGAAAGCAACAACGGAGAAAGCATCGGAAGCAAAAGAGAAAGCATCAGAAGCAAAGAGGAAGACTGCCGAAAAGGCAGAGGAAGCGTATGACAAGACGGGACAAGCGGCCGTTGATAAAGCAACGGAAGCTAAGGAAGCGGCAAAGGCGGGGATGGAGAAGACAGAGGAGCATATGGGCGGCTGGGCCAAGCAAGGTTATGAAGCTGCCAAGGATAAGGCTGCACGAACTTACGACTCCATATCCGAAAACATTGAAGCAGCCAAGCTTATTAAAGACGATGTTTTAACCACCACTCATGATGAGGAGCTGTGAAACTACGATCGACACCTACTTATGTTTACATATGGATGGATGTTTTATATATATATATATATGTACTATGTAACGTAGTAGAGATGGTCATTTAAGCTGGTGTGTGTGTTTGTGTGTAGACATATATATACACATGTTGTTTTATGTACTCGATCGCTAAATAATTGATTTTCTTCAATTCGTCTCTTTGTTGGACTTGCTAGCTAGCTACCACTTGCACACATATGTGCTATTTACTCCTACTAATATTAATTAATGAACAATATCATCTAATTCAGAATTTTTGTGATTATCGATCAGTATATATATTTATACAAGTGAAAAAGTGATCGAGCTCTATAATATGTTTTCACAACCATAGAATAGAATGATATAAAACCAATTGTCCTCTTTCAGAATTAGGATTCTGGAATTATTTCATGAAATATAACAACACTTACTAATTCTAGCTACGCTTGTAAGTTGTAATTGGAAATTTGATGACCTAATATATATATATTATTCTATTTTAATTAACACGTACGTGTATGTGAGTAGAGGAAAAAGTAAAACTAAAAAAGATTATCAGAGAGAAAATAACAAGTGGGTTTCACGCAGAGCAAACGAGGGTGTGAAGTAGAGTAACATTACCCAGCCCTAAAACCCTATTGTCACCTCCCTCTCACTCTCATTGTCACTGCCAAAATCAAACCCCCAAATCGCAAAATTATATTCTAGCCCACCGGCCAACGGCATGGCCGCCGCGTCGAGAGGTCTCGTTCGTCGTCTCAACCAGTTTCTCTTGAGGTCTCTCTCTCCTTCTCCTTCTCCTTCTCCGGCAGCTCTATACAACACCTCCCAGTTGAGAATGTTCTGTGCGGAAGACGATTCCCGAGTTATTGAAGCCAAGCCTGGTGTTATGACCCGCGATTCCAAGCGTAGCGGTGCTATCGCCGTTAAGTGTGGAATGACGGCGTTGTGGGATAAGTGGGGCGCCAGAATACCCATCACCATTCTTTGGTTGGATGATAACATCGTCTCCCAAGTCAAGATCCCTGAAAAGGAAGGCTTCTGTGCGCTTCAGGTCCGTTAAACTACTACCACCCAATTACATCAATTCTATTTTTTTCTTTTTATTATTTTATAGATTTACTGTTCGGTAGCTAGGTTGGGTGTGGACAAAAAAAGGAGAAGCATTTGAGGAAGCCTGAAGTGGGACATTTTAGAGCTCAAGGTGTCCCCATGAAAAGGAAGCTGAGGGAGTTCCCAGTCACTGAGGATGCTCTTCTCCCAGTTGGAACTTCCATTGACGTCCGCCATTTTGTTCCAGGCCAGTATGTCGATGTCACTGGAATTACAAAAGGGAAGGGCTTTCAGGTGATCAATTCTTTACAATCAAGATGAACTCATCGAAAATGTGTTTCAGTTTCTGTATGAAGTTGCTGTGATTTTTCTCAGATTTTTTATTTTTATTGTCATTTGTGGGCTCCAAACAAATCATATTCTCATTATTTCATTTTTAAAGAAAGTCTCCATGAGCACTACCCCCTTACCCTGCTAATCACCATGACAGAGATAGTTGGATGTTTTGTATTTCCTTGGGATTATGTTGGCAAAAGGAAAAATAAAATATCCCGAAGCAGGAGCTGCTGTTTCGAAAATAACCTGAAAAGGATGGGATGTTTTCAGTTTCAAGCGATTAAAGCTATGTGACTTTAGGCAGGAATGCTTGCCATTCACCAACTGTAACATGAGCATTGTTCCTCAGACTTTGAGCTGTCAAATAAGTTCTGAAATCTTGTATAGAACTTCATTTTTTCTCGTCTTTGTTAAGTGAGATCCATGTTAGGTTTGTGAAATTGCAGTTTTTTTGAACTGTATGATAACAGAGTGCTACCGTTTCTTCTGTTTTTAGGGTGGCATGAAAAGATGGAATTTCGACGGTGGGCCTGCATCACATGGTGCATCAAAATCGCACCGAAGTATCGGTTCTACTGGTCAAAGGGACGCTCCAGGAAAGGTTTGTTTGTTTTTAGTTAAATCCCTGGCCAGTTTTTATTTAATCAAAATATCTGATTGCTTTCTCCATTTTGGCAGCATCCAGCATCATGATGATCATCTTTTTTCCTTTGTTATCAGTAAATCATAGATACTATTTGTAGCATTTTATTCCATGTAGTATATAAATCAAGTTGTCAAAGTTCAGAACAATTGCGGTAATTTATTGCACCAAAACAAATTTGACCATCTGTAACTGAGCAGCATGCTTCCAATAAGGAAGACATTTCTCATTAGGGATAAAGTTATGAAAATTGGGACCTAGTAAAGGGATCGATAGAGATAATAAAACATCTAGGCCTCGTTTGGTTCCTAAGATAAGATTAATTTAACTAATCATGACTAATCTTACCAACCAAAAGAGTCCTTATAGTATAATTGGGGGAATAAGATAGCGAGATACTTGCTAAAGCTTGAGGTTGGAGTAAATTAGAGAACTAATGAGGGTTTTTAGTAAATGTAATAGTAAAAGAAAAGAAGAAATGCCAGAGAGTTTTGCTCAGTTCTGCCATTTTTTTCAAATTGTCTACAGTAGTTATTGCCATCTGCAAATTATGGAAATGGACGTGTGTTGTTGCAAGTAATTTTATCAATACACCATTCTACACTAGTTACTTTTTTTTTGGTTGGTATTTTTGAGGACTTTTTGTTTGATGATTGGCATATAGTATTTTTTGCATATTGTAAATTATACTGTGTGCTCTTTTAACAGGTTTTTAAAGGAAAGAAGATGGCTGGACACATGGGTGTTGAGCAAAGAACAGTAAAAAATGTTTGGGTTTACAAAATTGACCCTGCAAGGAACTTGCTGTGGGTAAAAGGCCAAGTACGGTTTTCTTACCATCTTCTCCTCTGATTTACATCCTAAAACTCCAATTAAGGCAGCAGATAAATTCCTTGCTCTTAATGCCATTTCTCTTCCTGGTCCATTTACTTTTTGTCTATTTAGAATAAAGGTCCATCTTTCCAGATATTAATGTTCAACAGTATAAGCTACATGAAGAAAAACAAATAATATTTTTTGTAACAAGACATTAGTCTTTAACATGAATTCATACATTTTCAAGCTGGATGTTGCTCTAAACCCTTTTTGATGTCTCATTAACTGAGCATTGTGTCTGATGCGACATCACACATTCATATACTGAAATACAACTGACCTAGGATATTCTCAACACTAAATTTTATTTGAAACTGCTGCTGGTGTGTATTGCAGGTTCCAGGTGCAACGGGAAATTTTGTTTTTATAAGAGATGCAGTGTACAAGAAGCCGGACGTTTCATTGCTTCCATTTCCTACTTATTTTGCACCAGAAGACGAGGACCCTGAAAAATTGGAATCTTTGGTAGCTGATATTGGTGATACAGACCCCTTCATGGCAGCAGATTGAATGAACTCAAAAGGCCACACTGCTATGTCTAATGTTTTGGTTTTGTTTTATTTTTAGGAGAAGTGGTGTAATTGGTTTAAATGGTTTTTTTATGCCTTTGAGATTTAGATTGAACTAGAGCATAGTTCAACAAGCCCTTGGGATGGTTCGTTTTGAACTCGTTGGATTTGGCATGCTACAAGAATAGGAGGTACTAAGGGATGTAGTTCGATTATATTGTGAAGAATCCATGCCTGGGTTTTCATAATGTTTTGCTGTCATTATTGTCAAAATTCCTTTAATAAATCAATGGTGACGAAAATAAAACATGTACTTTACGGAGTGTTTAATCATCCTTAAAAGGACAATCTTTGTACACCTCCTCAAGCATCTACATATTGCTTGTTGTTTGCTAATTAAGGGGAAAAAGAAGTGATTAAGGTTACATCAAATGAACATCTACGGACTACGTTGGTTGAATAAAAAGGTCGACTGTGAAAAAAAGAGAGAAAAATGTAATGTGAATGTGCGTGTATAGGTTGACAGATGAAGTGGGGATGGAATGAAACTCGGACGGACGATCAGTTTTTGAGGCCAAGAAAGTAAGGCACACCAGTGGTGGTCAGCCATTGGTCGGCTTGGATGAAAGGGGCAGCAGTGAATTGAAGAGCATCGTCCCTGTTTGTTATGACACTGTATCCTTTCCACTTGACCCGCTTATCGGTTGGTGCCCCAGGTCCCTTGTTTGCATACTCCCTGTAATACAACGTATCCAATGCAAAGTTGCCACTCCAAGGCATCCACCCTGCTGGCTGTATGAAATCCGCAAGTGTAGACTCCATTATTATCGTCTTTGAGTACTTCTTCCACGGCCTTCCCAGATAAGTCGGTATTTTGAACCTCAGTGGTTCCAATTTCTGCTCTGGTACTATTCTGCAGTTTTGTATCACTATTCCGGTGGTCTCCTTGCTCTGAGTTCTCCCTTGTGCCGTCACTGTGTTCTGCTGGTTGTCCATTGGTTTCCTCACTATGATTAAACAGTTCTGTATAACTACAGCTGAATCTCCGAATATGAAATCCACTGTTCCTGAGATGACGCAGTTACGGTAGAACTGGCGATGTGTCTGTGCGTACAAAGTGTCTTGATACCCATCCATTCTGCAGTTGTAGAATGCAGACATGTCCGATTGCACTCGTAGAGCCACTGCCTGGTGTCCCTCCGGCCCTGCTGTGTTTCTGAATCCCATCGACTTGGCTATGAATCCATCCCCAATTGCAACTGCATGTCCGTACATCCAAATTCATCAATATTATATTATCAATATGTACATTTATATATAACACGTGCGAACATGCGTGCGTGCGTGCATGATGATATTGGTAGTACTTACTGAATGGGGCCGTCTGGAAGGTGGATACACCGTCCGTAAAGCACTTCTTACCGGTGACAATGCTCTTTCTGGGTCCATCTCCATACATGTACACGTTAACCAGGTCCTTTGTTATGGTCACAGTCTCGTCGTAAACTCCAGCCTTTACGTATATAACATACCTCCCTTTGTGATTCTTGGGATATGCTGCAAGAGCTGCACTTATGGTTTTATAGCCACCACTTCCATCCTGTGCCACCACCGCATTGGGCGCAGGTTGGCCACCACCGCCGCTTTTGCTAGCCAGCAATTTCCTGTCTCCAGCAGGGAGCCATGCAGGAAACGACGAGGATGAAGACGTTCCATCATCATCATGGTCATGGTCTTCTTCAAGTAATCTTCCGGAGGAGGCTGCGGTGGAGTTGAGAATACTATTACTAGGAATATTAATGTTGAATGCCTGAAATATTGAGAAATA